CAGACTACTTTTTTCTAGAAGATACAGTAAAATCAAACAACTTAGAAATTTAATGTTTTTTGAGGTGCAGTATATTTTAGAATTTATCCATTTCGGGTGAATTATTGCATCGTTCAGTGACATAACCTCTCTAACTTTTCTTCAGTACTGACGTATTGATGGTTGCGCTTTATCATGACTCTGCGTTTCATGTTCTTGCATTCAGTACAGATACCAAAAAGATTCTCCATTCGACTTCTTGTCTTATTTTTTGTCAATTTATGCATGAGTTTATATTGAACTATTAATCAAATAGCAGCCTATTGCAGAGAAAAACTTGCGCGTGAAAGTTGGGAAGAATTTGTGTAGACGGGAACGATGATGATGAATTTGAGTTTGGTGGATTCTTTGTGATCAGTAATTTTAGTACACGGTCAATTGAGAGTACCATTTGCGGTGCAAGTTCGTTGCTGACCAGGCCGACTGATGCACCATTCTATGTGGGTTATTGTGTACAACATCTAGTGCTTAGATCAGTATAGTTTTGGCAATCAAATACAACAAGTTTTTGTTGTATATTAGCTTGTTTCAAAAGTAGTGTGAAGAAAATGATGTCAACGAACAGAGATTAACGCCAGCATTTTCAGTTTTATTGTCACTTTTCCAGATCACAACCATTTAAAAGTATAGAAAGATTCTGTAAACCATTACTGAAAAAGTTTCAACCATTGTAACCAACTGTCTGGGATTTCTGCAAAACACTAAAAAACAGAACTTTTTCTTACGTAAAATCGGACAAAAACAGTTTATTTGACGGCAGTTTTAAAGATTCAAGGAATCCATTTAAGAGCAAAAAATTTTGCTATTGCTTAAGAAACTGAATTTCTGATTGCATTCAGTTGGCTGTTGTCGTAGGCAGGTTAAGGTGTTCGTGTATCGTACGACTAATTAAAGAACAGTGACCTTTTATCTTTCTGCAAATTCTTCCCGTTTTTTGATTATCCCATCTGATTTCGAGGCTCAATAATTCAGATCTTAACCTTGTTGAAACGTTGCAGCGTTCGATTCAAAGTATGTCTAACTGAGCAGTATCTCGAAGCGCCTACGTCACTGTTATAGTCACACAAACGGCAACCAGTTGATGTGAAGGGCAGAACCAATAAGAAAGTAACCGAGCAGGTAGCATAATAAAAGTCGATTCAGTAGTCCCATTTTACGAAAAGTGATCAAAAACGGTAAACCCTTTGGAAGCTTTGTTTCATCTGTGGTAATATTTGGCGTCTTTAGATCCATGAACTTTGCAAGTATCAAATACATAAATGGTGAGGATGAGAAGAGTATCCTCGTTGTAACTTCCACGTTGTATACAAAGAAGCCTGACAGAGAGAGAAAAAGAGCGTGAAGAAGGAACGGAAGTACAGTGTAACGATCTCGTAAAACACGTAACACTGCCTCTGATAAGGGCCTGCAATTGTATCAAAATAACACAGCCATCAAATGAGAAACGAATGTGTGGAGCAATACGTTAAATGATTAACTTACAAATTCAAAGAAAAAGTACTTCGTACGAAAAGAGTCCCTCCATATACGACAATGATCAGTGCAGGAAGGGCAAGCAAGAAGCACGGAAGCTTGATCCACCGCCAATACTGGAGAAATCCAACATTCCAATATTTCATTTGTATTGGAGCATAAAATACAGGCAGAGGATTAAAAAAGCTCCTGCTCAAGCTGCAATAGCTTTTAGACGGATAATACCAGGACAGACTTTTCGAAACAAAATCTTAAGATAGCCCACTAGAACCCAAACGAACAAAAAGCTTTGTAAACATCGGTATTATATTGAAAGCGGTTAAACTTCAAGTAGCTGACCTGTTCATTTATATATAATGGGTTATTGCTTCTTGAAAGGTGGCCTGGATAAAATTGTAAGTATTTCACTATTACTCAAAAAATGGATATCACAGTACCTGCACCACTCAATCCTCTTATAATCTCCTGGTAGGACCAAATTGTGTCTTTCAGCAAATCTGACAATTGGCACGTGTGCTTCCGTAAAAGATGAATAAGACGAGTTAGAACAAAATTTAGTATGCATTTGTGAACCATGTAACGCAACCATGCCGAAAAGTAATCCAACACAAACTGTGCAAACAAGCAATGCTCTTCCTATCTAAAAGAAAGCAGAAATTTCAAAATAAATGAGCGGTGACTGATAATCTAAATTTAAACACGAATGCAAAATTGAATAAAAAAGCCTACTTAATATACCTTAAAAATAATGCCAGCTTTACTTTCATCCCATAAATATTTCTCTCCATCAGAATAATACATCATGTCTTGTAATAAACGAAAGCCGATGTAACCAATGTTAAGTAAACCATTAGACCTAAAATCTATACTATTATGGGCTAATAAGCTCGGAGGTGTCCTCCCCACACTTACCTAATATTACCAGCAACCTCCAGTAAATGAAGAGAATGAAAGCAGAAAGAATAAATTGTCATTAGTGAGCATTTAATAAGAAAAGTTCTAAAATTAACCTTGTCAGAAAAGCAAGTGCGAATAAACACGCTGATATGTAATATCGTATAGCCGACGAAGTCGAGTCATCATAAAGCATTAACATACCCGCAAGCGTTAAAGCAAAAAACAAACTTTCAGAATAAGAAGCTGAAAAAAATATGCTCGATGGATTTAACGAGAATACAATACATCCTATCAATGCCGTCTTCCTTGATGCACTCAGCCGTAACAGCATAATATATAAAAGCTGCCCACCAGTCAAAAAAGCAACCTGAAGTTCACTAAATGCCGTCACAAAACCTTCGTATGCGATTTCTATTTAAAAAGATATTTTACAACAAAAAAATCAGTAGTGCTAATTAAAATAAAACGTGACAATTATTTAGAAGTGTAAATAGCACGTAAAATAGGACAGAACAGATGCGTACCAGATTAAAGCAGACTGCGGTTGTAAGTAGAGCTGTCGAAAAGCTCAAGAATGGAGTGAACCAGCACCAAAGCCTAGTTAGGAAATAAATTGAAAATGGGAAGAGAGGAAAAAAAGCCAAGGAATTTTCAAATGTGTATCCATATTCAGCAATATGTAAGAAGTGAACGGCATCCCAACGAGAAAAACCGGACAAAGACTTTCTGACGGCACCATCCAGAAAAGAAATTGATTCTGAATCGATTTTTATGACTTTAATTATTGCAGTGCTTGAATCACTTGCTGTTAACATGAACAATGTTGTTTTTTCAAAACAAATGGTGGAGGCACTGGGGCAATAAGAATGATGATGAACAAAAGTGTAAAATAGGTCTTCATTAGAAAAAAGTACTGATTTCAAACTCTACTGGCTGCACCATGAAAGGAAACTCGAAACTGTAAAAGCACTAGAATTGAAAAAACACTAAAAGATACAGAACTTTATAAAAATTCTAGAACAATTTAGTGATTTTCTGAAAGAATGCGGCGTACAGTTTCAAAAATGTTAGCAAACATATAAATGCTATGCGAGCGCTTCTACGTTCTGGAAGCAAAAACTGGCGATGCAACTAAGAAAATTGAACAGTGTCACCTCAGAATAGTAAATACCAAATCTAAGACGTAACAGCGTCAAAAAACTCAATAAAAAAACAACAAAAGATTTGCTAGCTGACGAAGGAACGACAAGCGTAAGTTTGTAAACAATTGGTTTTTAGAGAGGGAAAAAAGACTCAAAATACCGTCACAAAGTTCCTCACCGTGATGGTCGTTAATTCCAAGGAATGCATCTGTTGGACGGTTATTAAATAAAACAGCGGACGGAACTTCAATTAAAAATATGTACAAACGGGAGATCAGGCACTGTCGAAATACAAAAGCAGCATCACTACTACTCCAGTCATCACGCCCCTGCAATCGGAAGCTGATGCAGTAGTTAAAACCAAGTTTCCAACCCTCCGAAGATAAAATCCAAGCAATCAAATCTGACAAATAAACAAGAATTTATTTCTCTCTGTAATACCCAGCAGGATGTAAATTACCATTCGGCCTTTGTTAAAATCAGATCCTTTTTCTTTCCCGAATACCGCTGCCTCCGATGTCGTAATTCCACCAGCCAGCAACTCGCTGCTCTCGATGTATTTCCTCTTCATTATCCAGCCAATATTACATTTGAATAAAGAGGTCCCACTCTTGCCCTAAGTAGAGACGACGACTCCAAGCCAAAACTAAAACGATTTCAGCTTCGTTACTTTAATGAGACCTCTTCAACGGCAGAATTA